GGTGCAGTCTCGTAGTGAAAGACAAGACGAACCTGTTCGTACAAATGTTTCAGTTGGTTTACGAAAATTTCCACTTCGTTCTACATTTGAAAAGCACATGACACAAACATATTACAACCAGTCCGGAATAACTTTGTGGCTTACGTCGTTGAGGTGAAGCCGCTAAGACCATCAGATGGGGGAGGCTGATTATCAGCGTATTCTCGATGAGCAACATGAGTAAACTGCTTAGTGAAACTTGTAAAGCGTACCCATCACGTAATTTGAGAGTTCGTCCTCAGGTCCTCGATGGAGTGAAAAGTGGGGTACGAGATTCACTTGACAATGTTCTAATGTTCAGTGCTTACACCTTGGTTTTAGTATCCAATATCTAAGGCACCGAATTAAACCAAAAATGGATAAGCTGAATACAACCTGGCAACAGTGGTTCCAGGTCCTATGATTTGAGGAATGACCCATCAATTGGTAATTGGTATGCTAATGAACGACGTTAATTCACCCACGCTCGCAGATAACGAAGATTGGTCTAGACTAAGCATCATGTGCTCTGAAGGACACGATGATAACGGCAAATTGGTGAACGAGTCCGTTCCATGTTCAAGGTAAGACGAGAACAAAGACCGTGTGCGTTGTGTCAAGGTCAGAGCGTTCCATGTGACGGAGGGTAGGACACCAGATCAACCCTGGAACTTAGGCCGGTGATGAGAACGAACATGCTTCAGCCACCGGTCTCTAGTGTGTGGTCAGTCCACGCATCGACTTGTGTGATTCGTTCACACAACTTACGAGCCAATTTGACGGGTCCGGCGAACAGCATTGACAGTGAAAATGTCCAGTCTCTTCTGGCAAACGGCCGCCACAAAGCGCATAAAAAAGAGCGTAACAGTAATGGCACGCAACCACTGAATTCAAACCCCACGGCCCATGAATCCACGCGAGGGCTATCGACTCCCGTGTGATCACATGCATGTGCGCAATCTTACGTCAGCTTGATGGTCGATCACCAGAGCAATCCTGGTTGCCACGTATACAGCCTTTAGAGCCGATGATGCGACTGGTCTTACTCTATGTACGCGTGAAGCTCATTTGATCTGCTCAACTGTATCACAACGGAACCCGTTTCGGAAACACAGTTGGGTTGCAAAACCCCGGATAACAGTAGCTGAAGTCGTACCAATACATACACACACACGTGTGAACACTTACACGTTAGACGAGCGGTGGAGAATAGTACTGGCGAGCAGCTTGGGTTGCTAACCGGTCTTGTTCCTCCATGTCTTTCATCGGAGGACCTGTCAACATTCTCATGAATCAGCAGCACCACCGATTTATGCCAATTCTTGGTAACCTATTCCTGCGCCCATATCAAACCGAGGAGTTTTCTCAATTCAAATGCCAATGCTAGGTCGCTCTCAGTTAAAGCAGGAGGCAACCCATCCGGTCCAGTAGCTTTCTGTCATCTAAAATAGCCTATTCCACGGAGAACCTCCGCTTCCGACGGAGGATTGATATCCACATCCAGAACTCTAACAGTCGTGCTACTTAGCACACCTGTTTTTGATAACTGCCAGTGGTACTTTATCCGGGAATGCTCCGCCAAACGATCTAGATAACGCTCATTAGTAACAATCCTTGAGCCCGTTGTCTTTGATCACTTCCCCAACGCCTTGCCTTCGTGGACCGGTGTTTCTAGTTAGACGGTAAAGGTTGATGCTGTTGTCGATTGACGCAGCTTTTCTCATCTCCTTACACATCGCAATCCACCACTGCTCAAGGTCGTTCCTTAGGCTCCGAATCAGTTGGCATCTGAGGAATCTCCGCGTCTGGAATCCTGAGGGGTGCATGAACAGCGCAGCCGAGGATGCAGATATCCATCGCGTCTGGTTCTTGGAAACCATGTAATGCAGGAATCTAATCTGCTATCCATTTTCAAATAGTCTTCTGAGAAAACGTCATGAATGTGAATCCTCAGACCCACGACCGAAAGGGATACACTAGCTGATTGTCGCTCTGGTTATGAAGTCACACACGGAATGTTAATTTCGACTGGCATGTTAACCTTAACACAAATAAAATAACAAAAACGCCATCAAAGCGAACAGGAAGTAACCTACAGTGGGCAGAAAGACATCCATTGCCATCAAAACTCGAACCAACTCCGCGACGACAGCTCTAGGACCAGTGACATCCTATCAAAGGCACTATAAAGATGGCAGCGTCTGTGGCAACTGGTGTATGGAAAGCAAAACTTGCAGGTGGTAATGCTCAGTTTTAGAGCCACATGGGATCAACGTACTAATCCGGAACACCACAAATTCATCAGCACAACTACGTTCGAGTCTTAGTTGAAACTCTTCGGATATGCTCTACTGACGGTTCCTAACCAGGATGAAACGGCTGTAGTGATTCCACGGCGAGTTGGCCGTTGACACTGCGCGATGAATCATTCCACACACAACCAGTAGGATCGCGACACCTGAGCCGTGTGTAACCGCATCGAGTGGTAGTGAATCGATCGGAAAAAGGAAGTAAATAATCATGAAGAATTCACCACTCTGGCACGGTTACCTGCATACGACTTTCGGTAGACATGGCCGGTACAAGACTGTCAGACATAGTAAAGCCTCGTCATTCTCCCCGTCACTATCCAGTTCATCGCAAGAGACCAAAAGAGAACAAGCCTCAATTATGACTAAACGTGATTGTATATGCAGAGGGCATACACATGAGCAGAATGGAATATGTCTACAAGCATGGTATGTGTACATGATTTGTGCAGACGGATTCACAATTCAACATGTGTGTGTGTGTATGTGTGCGGATTTGTCTGAAGAGGGTTATTACGTGCACATTCATGTCTGTGTTAGTGTGAACTGAGAGGAACCGAACTGAAGTAAACAGGAAAAACGAGAGCGAGAAAGTCAACAAACGAACGAATGCATGAGCGACAGATAGAGATGACTGAGAAAAATCACACAGGCGTTACAAACGCAAAGAACTAGCGAACACAGTGAGTGGTGAATAGACAGAAAGGGACGGAGTAGTATTGGTAGTAGTAACAGAGGATCAGATAACATTCTCCTCACCGATGATAATTAAGACTGATGACTGTCGCGGACACGGCGAGCACACTCAAAAGTTGAAACTAACCTCAACAAATGATAATTGTGAACAAAGTTCCACCTTGCACCAACTGCCGCCTACCTGGAAAGCACATGCGGGATGAAGTCGCGGTCGGCGAATACCCTTTGTTTTCACCCGCCGTTCACAGGTGACGGTGATGACGATGAAACAAACAACCGGCGCGCCACACATAGAATGAAATGAGTTGAAACTGACAAGGCGGGAGAACAACAACAATAAAAAGAAACAATTACAAGGTATAAGGTAGCGATGATGCGAAGCAAACAGGGCAATGGATGGAGCCCCGGAGAAAGATAACTGTGGTATCATGTTGGAAAGACCTTAATGGAGTGTAGGGAACCGGGTTGTGGGGATTGTTCCTCTCACGATGATGACATCGTTGTCACGATTTCACTCAAAGGTGCTGATGAGACGTGATTGGAATTGGATGATCGCGAGTACCATAGAAAAGATAGAACATGGTTACAAAAAGAATGCTTTTCAAAATCTCACGTCGCACAAGCAAACTGTTCAAATTGAATGCTAAAAAGAGATCCAATGGTGGTGTGCAACACAGAAACCTGGGATAATAGTCATCTGCGTCGGAAACAAGACGTGTAACGACCAGTAGTCTTCGGATTTTTGGAAATAGAATAAAGAAAGCAGAAGCAATGGACACGCGAAGCAGGGAGCATCACGTGAAAGTGGCGTTTGAACAGCTGTTGTGCAAAAAGAAAATAATATTGGTGCCCCCAATCGCATCAAGAACAAGCCGCACGCGATCACGAGCGTAGACTGAGAAAAGCGGACGAACGTGTGAGTAAAGTCTGAAACATTAGGTGAGCCGCACGATTGCTCATTAATTACTCAATAAGAATAGGAATAACCTTGGATTCGCTCCCGTGTGTGTGCGTCTATCTGTATGTGCACGTAAAAAAGAAATAGGACAAATGAGTCTATAATAATGCTTGGCTGAGAGCAGCGAGTTGCGCGGTTCAGGATAACATCCGGAGCTTCTTATTGTTGAAGTTGCCAAGGGACACGAAGCAAACACGAATCATTAAAAGCTGAACAACGGACAAGAGGACAGTTACATGAATATGTGGGTAAGAAAGATGATCATGGAAGCAAACTGTAAACAATTCTACTAGCGCGGAAAAAACGTGAAAACTGATGAACGGCACAAGAAGCCTGAGAAGAGAATCGTGCGTCTCGTACTCTAATCGTCCTGACAAAAATGAATACGATACAACCGATCACTAAACGGCTGCTTCTGTCTTTCAATGTTGATGATAACGGTGGTGGTATTGATAATGATGATGACAACAGTAGCCACACACACGCGGAAACAAGTAAAATTTAGGTAATGTACAAAGAGAAAGGGGCGTATAGATACATTTGGACAGGAAGACAGTCAGGCTCCTGTACAATTTCTTTTTTTCCTGATTGATCGCGTGATGACGATTTTAACGATGCAATGATAACACTAATAACTAACACCGGTTAAGATGTGGAAGTAGAAACAGTAATGAACCCGACAGAAAGAAACTTGGATCACGTGTCAGTAATTAGGTCTAACATATATACTATATATATATATATATATATATATATATATATATGTGCGTGTGTGTATGTGTGTGTGTGTGTGTGTGTGCGTGTGTGTAAGGACGAACACAGCGGCGGACGACCTCACGGGAACAAAACACAGGGTTGACGGGCAAAGGAATCAGGAGGAACACCGGGAGAATGGACATTTGTCGTTGCGCGCAAACCCGCGCACACTCGTCCCACAGTGCATCTACGTGTGCACAGTGAAGGAAATATAGGAACAACCAGTTCCGCAGAAGATAATTCGAGTCAGGATCAGTGTCCAGTTAGGGTTCAAACAACAGCGGGAGAAGCCATTCGTCATCGTCAACCGGTCTATTGGTGGGTAAAAAGAAATACAAAGTTAATGAAAGGGTGACATGTCAATGGGGATCATGAGATGTTAGGATAAGGAGTGAACGAACATTCAGAAAAATGCGGGAAAAATAAAAAGATCATTTCCACGATGCGAAAAATCAACGCGTTAATCTGTCTCTATTATAATCGGTGGCGGTCGAGTTGTTTAAACACCAAACAATAGCGTCTGATGCAGGAGGTTAAAAAATAACGTCATCGCCTGGTCATCTACAGAAGTTTCCTATGTGGTTCTTCAATCTGCACTTATAGTATGGTCTGTATAGTGTAGTCGTGAGCACGTCTTTTCCACTGAAGTCATCCAGAGATATGGTGTGCTTCATTACAGATGCAAGAGTAAGTTGAACGAAATAGAGACCAATTGATAAAAAATCGGCTTGACGAGTTCTGCATGGATCTCAAAAACGGGGAACGGTTGTTGGCTCCGCGTTCAGATCACCGCCTGTTTTTCGTTAGTGCGAACTTCAGGAATTCCAACCGCCGGTATGCGACGTGGCGTCCACCCTCCTCGAGTCAGCAATGGACCCGGATAGACCACGTCGCAATTAGCTACAATGGCCTGCACATAAACCAACGACCGATTTGACGAAAGATTGGCAATGGTGGCTGCTCAGTTTAGCTCCCATTCAAGGCCCCAAGCGAGTTCAAAGATATCCAAAAAATGCTGCATCCCAATTAACGACAGCCCAAGGACAGGAAAGATGCGCACACAGAAAACATTGGGGCAGAGGAAAGAGCGTGGGGTTTATGGTATCCGGATGTTGTACCAATAGGACTCATGTGGACACTAAAGGGACTCCGTGACACTAAGTAAGCAAACTGTCACTCACGCAGACGTACAAACTCGTATACTCATTTATAATTAAATATTGCAAACATGGAGTTATGCCACAAAGGTCGTCGTTCCTTTTCTTAACAGTTCAACGATAGTTAGCAATCCACTGTCGTCCGGAATGTTACCATAGCTGACCCATTTGGAACCTATGTGGTTCTCTCCTACTGCAAGTCTCAGGGTCCGGTTGCCGGCTATCCTGAATAGTGGGTCTTCCACTGCACTCATGCGCAGGCAGAAAATTAAAAAAAACACGCTAACAAATGATTAAAGACAGGAGCATATACAAAGGCAAATGAGAAACCATGGAAACTGAAGATGAGCCAACAAGCAGAGAGGCGGGAGGGAGAAGAGCATTTACACTTACTCGCAATCCTCTGAGATAGTGTCCAAGGGTGTGGGGCTCGAATAACCAATGCGGAATAGTGTTCGACGAGACAAGTTCCACACCATCTGACGACGACTGGACGGTAACGGATCACGATAATACACTTCATACAATTCACCCACTAAACTTGCACATTCACAAACATCAGTCCAGTCAACCTAGAAAAAAAGATGGACAATGACTAACTAAGCAATCGATCGATTGAGTAAATCACTGATGAACCTTGTCAGAAGAGAGAGTTCACATAGTTCATGGATAGTTCATACACCCAACAATGGGTTTCAGTCTAACGGTACCCCATATCCAGATATTTCTAGTCAACAAGGTTATGCACGTTGGTGCATTTGTACCTAAGCACCAAAATGCTATCAGTTGGATTTCGAAAGTAATAAGCAAATCATCAAATTGTAAATACAAACTGCAGCATTATCAGATACACAGAAAAACTTTCTCAAACATACAAATACGTTTGTTTGCGCACCCTAGGAAGAGGTGATCAAACAGTTGTGTATTACACTTTCCACAAAAATGGGGCAATGTGGAGCGGGGTGCAAGTGGAGTCAAAACGCTTGGAACTCACCCTGCAGGTTTGTGCAAGCGGTATCAGACCCGTAACACCAGTCAGGGCTAGAATACCCAAAGCCAAACAGGCCGGTCGGAACCGGTAAATCTCCAAAGAACACAGTGAAATTTCCAATCGTGTCATGACGCGCTTCAAGAGCTGATTGTATTGCGTTTTCAGCTGGCGAGAAACTGACGCGGAATCGTCGTTTGAGACTGAACGATGATGAAGTTCATCCGATAAATGTTTTTGCCGACCGGATTGATCAGGTTCGCATGACGGAATGCAACAGCAGTCTAATGAGCTGTTATCACCGGTAATCATCGAGGAGTATGATCTACAGGTGCCTCGTGCGACCCCCGACGACGTATCAACAGTGCCGTTCGGTAGAATGGGGTTGAGGAAGTTATTGGTCGGACACTTAGACATTTCACCATTGTTCATCATCAGCGCATCGGTGAACGTACGCAAAAAGTCGTAGGCGTTTACTCCATCCAGATCGTTAGAAAGCTTGGACGCGAGAATTTCCTCCATGCGAATCAGGTCGGCTCCGTTACCACCACAGCGAGTGATATGAACCAAGGTGTCCGGAGAAGGCAAATCTATATCCTACATAAGTCACAATAGCAAATGAGTGTACTTGATCTAGAATGTGGAGGTAGCAACCGATGCGCAGAGGTCAGAGGTTTAATAACAGTTGTAGCGTATTTGAGAATCAGAAATAGGAACCAAAAAAACGTTATCAATCAGGATCCTACGTCGGTATACTTTAAGTCTCTCAGTCAATGTTACTAGTCCTCACCAGGTTTCCTCGTAGTCATGAGTAATGATCAATCCGTTGGGGTAAAGCTACGTCAGAGAATGGAAAATGAATGCAGACAGGTTGTCAAACCAGCAATACGATTGTTCGTACAACACCAGCATGATCACCAAGTTGATGTAAAAACGTGACTACGTATATCCGCTGAAATAAAAGATCGTTTCATCCAGCAGTGCTTGAAAGCAGGGCCGACAGAATAACATGATCCGAAGAAGCCGCGCAGGGTGCAATGTGCACACAAGCGCAGAGGGTGTGTCCAATTCGATTGCCGATGGTTAATCACGTGCACCGCAAAATGTCTACCACCTGCTCAGATGTAGACTCGATACATAAACGCGCACGTGGCTAGGTTCAGAGGCCCTGTTATCATCTATTTGCTTTCGAAACAGGCACAACATTCATTGCCTTCCTCTCACGCGCAGGTGCTCAAGACCAAAACGTCTCAACTTGATTTTGCCGAGATGGATGGCACGTGGTCCACTGATGCGTGCATTTGGACGAATGTGGGCTTGGGTGGGCCAAATACATCTCATAATGGGCACATTTCAGTGCACCTGACAAGTCTGTTCATTGCACAAATGAGCAGCAGCAATAAGCAAGCATCTCGATGTCGTGCATGGCCCGGATCCGAAAAACGAATGCGTCCAGATTACCGCTTCAAAAAATGCTGTTAACTGTGCCGATTCTGGTTTTTTATTACATGCGCGTGAGCGTAGTGCAAATGGTGTATTTCAAAGGCCTGCTGCACTATTAGGAATAACCGGCCACCAGACCCCGAGACTTGGAGTGGATCATCACATAAAGCCCCAATACGTTAGGGGCTGTAACGAGCCGGACCACGATAGGATTACGGTCTACCACCAAAGTGGCCGGGTTTCGAACCTCCAACCTCCAAGGTGGTTAATTATTTCACTTATGTTATTCTTATCATGTAATAATGTTACAACACTTCAGCATGTGGGTCACGACCAATCGGAGGCTGACAAGTAAAGAAACAGGCATGCAGAGTAAACACGGGCACACAAAGACCACGAGTACGGTTGTGTTCACAGGGCTTGCTAGTTGCGAACATTAACGGGTATCAGCTATTAGTTGTTGACCCGTGTGTGTGTGCGCTACAGCGTGGCAGACCAGCTGTCAAACCAATGCAGGCGCTCGATAAAGAACGGTGTGCTCTATGTAAAACAGACCTAGTGATCCCGAGAGCAGTCAGTCAGAAAGCCGACCGACAATCCGGCTAAGCAGCATAGCAAGCCGACAATAATTGATCATGGAAAAGCCGTATGATACAAGTAGACAAAAAAAATGCAGGACAGAATAACCTTACGGGCACAATGTCTGCTCACAAGTAGATAGTTAACATACCATAAAGTAAACCCGTTATAATATTACTATTTATCTATCGCAGTGTCGATCACTTTAGAGGTCAACGATTATCCACTGAGCCCAACTATAACAACCGATGAAAGGTTCATGTAACCTGGCCTGGAGCCGTACCGTGATTTCCTGCTGTTCAGTATGCCTCAAGTTAACAGCGGCAGCGCTAAGAAGGCTCAAATCAGAAATTTTATGGTTAGTTTTTGTTAAACGCCGTAGCTTACCAAGAAGAGTAAACACCCTTGAGCCTGAGCGGTGAACGACACTAGGTCAGCCCCGCTGTTAAGCTGAGACAATATTTCAACGCAAATAGCTGTAGACAGGTGAAAATGGAAATGGAAAACGCTCTCCGCATTTACAACAAATAATAGAACTCGATAATCATAGCTTGCTTCAGTGGTGTATAACGATGAAGGGAACCACTCTTAAGCAAAAACTTGAGTCCAGCTGATCGTTACTCAATGCTCTGACGGGTGACACTGACATGAATTACCAATGGATAACTGAGAACTACCAACTGACATCGTGGTGCGCGGTGTAAGCGAGGCGAATTTCATCGTTTGTAATATAAACCTTGGGTGGTCGAGTCGCCGCCTTGTTCGGTACCACGTTTGACCTATTGGAGCTTCATGTGGTTCTTCATCTCTAGTCTCGAGGTCATGATAGACCGTTCTCTGACAGTCCAGCGGGCCGCCGTTTCTGGTCGTAAGCACGCTCTTTCTATTGAGCAGCCGAAATTCTCGGAACCGCATTTCGACAGGTTATATTAGTGGTAAACAGTAATGTAATGTTATTCTGCATTTTCCTCTTAAGTATTTTCAGCTTCTAATGTTCAGTTGCACGCCTAATAAAGCCCAGATTCTAGGCCTCTGTCTTCCGTCTATCTCCACCATTCACGTTTCGTAAGCACATACGTATCGATTTATTCGACATGCACGGTCATCCTGAACGATTCGACGGAGATTCGAACTCAACTACTTCCTCAAAAAATTGACGCCGGCTTTGCACATTCGACAGATTTCTCGACCAAGTCGGCGTAGATTGTCGGAAGCTTGACTTCTTATACAACTATATCTCTCCGACCATTTATGATTATGACTGAATGTACTTCACACAATAATGCTATTCAAACCCTGGAAAAATTGTTTATCAAACCGGCCAATGAAGTCCTCGTGCGCTATCCATTTGCAATGTTCAAACAGGAAACGCAGAAGAATTCCAGTCATTTCTTCCCAAAGCTGAAGTCCCTAGCTAAGGATTGTCATTTCCAAGCCGTGCCAGCTGAGAAAAATTAAAATGATGCTATTCGGAACACCTTTATAGGCGAGATGCAGTCGAACACTGTGCGACAACGACCTCTTGAAAACAAATCATTGGACTTACAAACTGCCTTAGAACTAGCCCGATCGCTCAAAATGGCCCAACAGCAATCAAATGCCTTCCAGACACCATCGATATCGTATACGGCTTCAGCGTCAACACCCACTGAACCAGTTGATGACTATCCCTCTGGTCACAAGGAAGGTAGTAATTTACTCGCGGAAACGACGTCAGCGTCGGTTAGAACCAAGTGTTATTTCCATGAGAACGACAGACACCCTCGATTCAAATGTCTTACTAAGGATGCAGTTTCTAGTAACTGCGAAAAGAAAGGACACTTCAAACGTCTGCTGATCCCCTCCAAAGAAACTAATAGCCTCTGCTACAATACCTGTACTCTCAACCATAAGCGCCGCTTCTTCTCCGGATTGCCTTCCAGATGCGTTAACAACCAATATCGTGAATAAGATCCCTATGGAAGTCCTGATACGGCGTTCTGACAGTTACATCTCCGAATCCTTAGTGCAATGTGCTCAGACATAGATAGCCACGTCCATCTTCCTTATCGGTTTAAGTGTTGATGCTTGATAATGCAGTTGCTGAGCCCTGGCTCACGGAGTTTCCATTCTGTCCTTGCAGATCGTGCACATGCAACCCCCACGGAAAAACACTGCATGCAGCATACTACATTGATATACCACCGTCTTAAGGTCATGCAACCATCCAGCGTCACCATGGCTTCCAAAAGACCAATGAGTCAAACGAAATGTCATTGGGTTGTTACTATAAATCTCAAGAATAATGCGTACAACTTTAAACTCTCTGTATTCCCTCATGTGTGCGGATGTATTATTCGGACACGAATTTTTGAAATTTTATGAATCGATTGAGATCCCATTCAGTGGCAGTAAATCGACCTTCTCTGTTTATGACAGCTCCACGTATCGAATCTCTCCCCTTTCGGTAACTTGCCGCCAGATTGCAACTGTGTGGTGCAAACAAAGATGATCACGAAATCTACCTTGGTTTTGTTATTATTGTTTTCCTACCTTCTCTTTTCAGCTCCTGCCGTGCATTTGTGTCGAATAAAGCTTAAATTCTAGGCCCCTGCTTCATCATTGTACAGCGTTTAACAGTAGGGCAAGCCCCACTGACCACTGCCTTTCTCACCATGTTGCACGTTGAATTAAAAGGTATGAATATACAAGATGGACAGGGAGTAGACCTACATGGGTGGGAAAAGAAAAGAATGCCCTAGTAGCCAACACACAGAATACACAGTCTAACTGTACAAACGTACACCGATCAAACATTCTGATTCGATAGAAAGTGACAACACGATCTCCACTGTTCGCGGTTCGCAGCCATATCCTTCAGTGTCTCCAGCCAACTGGTAGACGGATCTTTTGGACCCCAACCACGAAGACGTGAAGCACCTACTTTTCCTAAGTCTGCTGTACATTTTCTCATTCCTCGCTGCCACGTCATCTGTTGACCTCCACGTGGTCTCTCCCACTCCCTGGGAAGGGCGGAGAATAGGACACGGTACGGTAGACGTGTTTGCCATACGTAACAGGTGTCCCAACCAACGAAGTCTACTAAGTTGGATACGCTGTGACAAAACGTTCTCTGAATTAGTACCCAATACTCGCTTTCTTACCTCATCGTTGCTTACTCGGCTATTCCACCCAATCCTAGCGATACTACGTAAACATCGATGGTCGAAAACCTCAAGACGACGAATATCTTCAGCACGCAGACTCCAAGTTTCGCAACCATACAACAAAACTGAACGCACAGTGGCCCAGTATACACGACCTTTCAACTTCAGTGAAATATCGGATCGGCGCCACAAGTGCTTCAGTCCAGCGTACGCCGCTCGAGCTTTGGATATCCGCGTACTCACCTCTACTACTGTGGTCCCATCCGTCGTCACGCAGCTTCCGAGGTAGATGAGTGGTCGACAACTGACAGCACCTCCCCATCGAGCATCAAGTTCGGAATCGTCGACGTCCAGTCTTGTAACATCACTATTAAGCACACGCGCAATTCGCTGTCGCCCGGCTGGTTACCACGTTTGACTTACTGATTCTTCCTCATTCCAAATCTCACGTTCTGGCAGCCGGTTATCCCCAACAATGCAGTGGGCCGCACAAGCAGTGTATACCTCTTCCACTGTAGTCATGCGTAACATAAAATAATCTGTCAACCTACCATTTTCTAGTCTGTAATCTGAATGGATCCGGTAATCACTATCTTTGTGTGATAGAGACGGTATTGGGTCACTCCAAGATAAATGAATAGTTAACGGTTTTATCCTCGTGAAGTGACCGAAGTAAGCTGCAAGATTCACGTGCTAGCCATGAAATGATGACTCATTTTCTGAGTACCGTTATGCACTTTTAAAGGTGCACAGCGCCATTAAAAAGTGGTTTTGGTTCAAGGAAAGCTTTAGTCGATTTAGCTTCCTGACAGTCAACTGATTTGTGAGTACCTGACAAAGTGTCATCGAGTGCGCAGAAGACCGTCTGATCCGTCTACTAAAAACCAGTTCTGTTGTCAGAAGAGGCTAGTGTACGCTGCACCAGCTAGGCCCGTTATGTTACACGGCGGTCACGCGGTTATCGCTGGCTTGGCAGCATTATTCGAACGTGCTGGCAATGCCGGGATTGAGAGCATTCCTATCAGGGGAGTGAGGAAAACCGGAACTACTTATGAACCACGCACAGCATATAATGGGTTACTTCGGTTTAAAAAAGTGTCAACAGACGGACTTCGTTAGTGCGGTGGTTGGAAGATAGATTGACCTTATCAAGACATGGTTTGATCAAAATGTACGAGAATTATTGGGCTTCTGCTTTGGTCCCATAAGACCAGCGATTGGACTCTAAGAAATGCGGCGAAGCATCGCTGTGAGAGACTCATTTGCATTGGAACACCGGACTACATGGTTCTCTGCTAGGGTCTTTTCTCGTGATCTAGTCACTCTGCATGGGGACCAACCAAAACCAGAACACCAAACTACCGGGTTCTTGGTTAGCAAAACTGGATTGTGTGATGGACATGACGGACCGACAGAAATCAAAATGAGAAAGCGAATGTTAAAGCGTCCCATGCATTTAGGTGCGTCTAACTTTCCAAACAAACAAAAAACAAAGAATGAACAAGATGGGCGGTTTCAGAATACCACATGAACCCCAAAACGTGAGATGACTCACCTCGGTTAGCGGATGTGTCAGTTTACTTGCTGCACAATAGGACGCTGTGGCCACACAAGCCATATATTTCGGTTTGACCTGGTTAGTGAGAGAAAAATCCGAAAGAAGCGAATTCACTAATGGAGTACATATTGAGATGTTACTTCTCCGAGCAGCTGAACGAAAAGCGAGTAAATACCATACTAGCTGGCCCGTGCCAGCTACATCACATAGTGTGGACAACCCTCACCGTGTACTCGTATACTCTATCATAAAACTAATGAAAGGAGCGGCCAAGTATCGACGAAAGCGAAATAAGAGCTCTGAACTGCCCAGACCGTTGCCCGTTTGATCGACGTTTACTTATTTGCCATACATGAATGGTACGATATTTCAGGAAGGGGATGATGGCGGTAAATTAGGAGCTATCGAATGGAGAAGTGGCCGATGGCGGCGATAGGATTCGAACCCGCGACCACAAGATTCAAAACTCACCATGATGACCATTTGTCTACTACTGAACAGTAAAACCGGGAAGGATATTTGCTTCGCTTAGATCAAAATGCTTTAAGTCAGCGATTGGCAGGAAACACGAAACTTCGGGTTTTCAATATCGCTTCTGTTACGTTCACACTCAGATGACCGAACATACGCACCACATGTCCACGACAGATTCATGAGATGTTGATGGTCAATAAAATCAATCAAAATGCAATTTATCACATCATCAACAAATAACAAACCCTGTTCCTGATCGAGTCATGGACCAATCGTGGCCAACTGCCAGTCTCGCCGAATGCAAGCGACGGCGAAGTAAGTGTTAGACAAAGATGACGTCAATACTTCTGAAACTGCTAAAATCTGCGTAATTTTCAACTCTGATTGCAGATAGCCAAACACTGTTACGCTGCTTGCTACTACCGTCACCCTTACTTTGACAGTCATCGTCTCCGTTTCCCTTAAAATAACGCAGACCCACACTACTACTGTCACAAACCTGAAATACAATAGTACCAACTTTTAAAGTCAAGATTACGAATGGAAAATACTCTAAGTAAAAAATGCGAACAAGCAGATCGAACAGCGCGAGATTCGGTGCACTCACCTTGACCTTCACAATGAATCGATCGATAAGATTGACCGCTTTGCAAAATGTCTCGGTGGACAAGTTGAAAAATGCGTTGTGCATAAAGCGCAAATTGTGCACCGCTTCATTCCGCAACGCAGCATCCACTTTGTCCTCGACTTCCTGTTACAAAAGTGTGTTTGTGTAAGCAATAACCAAGACAAAGTTAACCATAAGTTTGATATGGATTAAATGTGACAAACTGCCAAAGTGACAATCTCGTACAGAACAATATTCGATAAGTGTTAAACGACCGAAATAAAATAGAATAATCACCGGCAGTACAAAATTATTAAAAATTACATCCAACTCCATTGTTATAGTCTCCCTCCACCCCATATGTATCTCACAACTGCACCAACAACGAATGGCGATGAGGTGATTGCAATGTACGTCACATGGGTTTGATGTTTGGTTCAATAGAGGGGCATTAATGATGATAGATGACTCGAGGCGCGAGAAGTGGAATATAAGATACGTATTTTGCCGCAGGCATAACTGTAGCAACAACGACCATCCAACGGGAAAACAGAACCCGAATCCCATGAAAAAACGACATAAACATGCTAGTTTTATTTGCAGTGAGTTTGTGGAAAAACAATATCGACTGATGTGCAGGCAAGTCTGATATGACGCTGACCTTGAACGGACCGGCGGTTTTTCAGTGAGTTAGAGCGTTTGACTATGACTGCTGAGATCACAAGTTGGAATCCCTCCACTGCCGATCATTTTGGTGTTAGGTAGTTATCTACTGTCCCTCGGTTCGTTAGCACGTCTGACCTATTGCGATCTTGTACGGTTCTCCATCCCAAGTCTTGGGGTCTGGTTGCAGGTTATACCTATCAGTGTAGTGGGACATCGAGGCTATGGGGCACACCCTTTCCGCTCATGCGCGAGCATGTACCAAAAACGCGTTCGGCACTTGACATTTTATCCTTAGATTTACTCCACATTTGAGGAAGGCACAATAAAAAATGAGCAACTTTTGGGATTGACGAGGTCAATGTCAGGCAACCGAATGCTTTCGTAAGGGAAATCTGATAGACAAATTCTAAGCGATTATCCCTCTCTTTTGTCGACTCTTGTTTACCTTTGTGTGTCCCTCCTCAGCTTTTTGTTACGACTGAAGGTCACTGCATAAGCAGATATTGTTCGTCAAGCGGATCAAAGCTCATGACGGTCCCAAGGGAGCAAGTTAATTTACACAAAACACCACTGGCGCGTTAACTCACGTCTCGCACGAGATACGTGGAACAGACACCCAACGGGCATGCGCGCGCATTCCCTCTGCTGCTTAACGGTTTGAGAATGACAACTGCCGTGCTCAGACACACAGAACACATCTGTGAGAACCAGCGATTACTGATACACGGAATAAACTGGCCGAGAAGAACCAATAGAGATGCGCAGCAGAAACTGACCTTTACGTTGGCTTGATCGCACCACCGCCAGCGCGTCTGCCTACGTATACGGTAGATTTGCCTGAATGCCTCAATCTGTCCAAAAACTACTGTCCCTCTCTCATTCTTTCTCTCTACCCTCGAGAAAATCATCACAGCCACACATATACAGGCAGATAAATCAGGAAGTAGACAGATGTGCATGGACAACGTATTATTGATCGAAGTCCAGTCAACTATTTTTCAGGTCGCTGCGGTTGAAGCACTTGGAAGCTAGCAGGTGACACCGCGCAAAAACAAGTCACAGAACTGAAGAACCCTTGACAAGGGCAATTTTTACGACAATCAATGGAAACCGGACCGTTTATTTCCATGTTTATCACGACAATGAGTCAAGACAACACAGAGATACTTCCTTGATGAAAATAATGAAAACAGCTAAATAACAATGTTGAGACCCATAGATTATCATACTAATAATCTACCTCTAATGAAACGTGCGTACAGCTACCAAATCCAATGCAAAGTAGGCGCACTAATATCCCAGCTATCTAAGCAAGTTAAAAAAAAAACACGCAGCATCACACACCAAAAGTCTCAAAGCAATCTGCTCGCGCTCCAGAACGTGTTTGAGTCAATTATCAGCGCGATTACTTCGAGCGCCTCGCAGAACATCATCCTCCCTTCGTTTTTTCTTTCACGTTCAGGTTGTGTTTCTGTCGTATGATATAATTCGCGAGTATTATTGGCGAAACATGAACGGGCGATCAATTCGGAAGACATCACAAACAGGAAACTAAAACACCAACAGCACGACACCGCCACTCAGACTGCCATGAAACCTGACATACTGAAGCCAATCCGAGTTTCACGGTCATGATTACTGGCTGTCAAAATTATTGCAGCGTGCCTTCCTAGCCACAGCATGTGCCTCCGGTAGACGATACAAATGAGAATGTGGAGACGCGTGTGGCTATATGTCACGAGGTACAAACATGCAAACTACGAAAATAACGCACATTATCGATATACCACTTACCGGGTTGACGTAGAACAAAAACGCGTTGTTCGGGTGATAACTGGGTTCTCGAGCCAAAAGGTCACGAAGACGATGCCCATCCACAAGGGATTCCTTTATGAGGAAAGGATAGAGGTCTTAGTTGGCATTCGTGCAAAGTTGCGCATCTCTTTCGCCTAGCTTACGATAACAGCTCTAGGAGCAAAACACGAAACGAAAGAACGCCACAAAGTAGTTCCTCAGAAACACCGTAGACACCATTGCAATAGTACACAAAGAACCATGAAAGGCCATCAGTAAAATTGATTCTAGAAAGAGAAGCGAACCCAACGGAACATGGCAAGTGAGAAATTCCAGTACATGGAGCAGTCGATGTGGTCTAGATTGGCGCATTAGTTTACTAACCAGTAAAGTTTGTTACTTTAGTTTTCTTCGTTCCAATTTCTTCATTCGATTTTCCGGGTTGTGACTCTATGCAACTTGAAAGTCGCAGCCGGACAGCTCCTGTGTTACCAAACCTGGTTGAGACCACAATGTCACGCTTCTTACTGATGGTGCAGTAGGTTCTTCTGGTTATGGGGGTAAGGTACCTCGACTGTGGCCGAAGAAACCGTGTTGGCTGAATGGAGCAGACTCCACTGACAGGTGTGCTCCAGCACTTAAAAAAGGATTACTATGTATATACCAAATAATAGACCACACTTACTCTACTTCCATGGGGCCAGCTTCTGCGACAGGTCGAGCAGACCTTATGGATGTTCCAAATGGCACCTGCCCATGAGCGGTGCGTGGAGGAACTGTTCATGAAGAGTCTCCGAGATTAGGTACGATGTGGCATCCTCAGCGTCACTAGGCTTTGTGCTCGAAATAGCAACTCTCGCTTGTGCACAACCATGTGCTACCTATCGGGTAACAGGGAGTTTGTGTTGGGAGCCGGTGACTGAACGAGCGGTCCATACGCCTTTTAGATGGCGATTTGTCAGTCGAGGATGCCCAACGCGTCATGGTGACTCCCACCCCTCACTCATTATAGCTGAGCGAAAGACAAGGAATAACCTCATTTAGTGGCGGGTCACATTCGTGCACGTCACGTCGGCTTGGGGCTTTTATGTAGAGTTCGCTGCCAGGTGAAAAACCCGCCACGCCCTCCATAACAAAGCCTCGTTGCTTTGTCCTGGCTAGTAGCCCTCGGCCTATCCCATATGAGGGACTCAGAAGAGGCGCTTTGCGTTCCAGTCGGCATAGCCCCCAGGGTCACCGTGGCACGCAAACCCGATCGATCACCATCAGTAAGGTAGGAACATCGTGCATGCTACTGTGCACCAGAATCAGTTAGGGCGATTGCCGTATTTGCATTTCGATGTGAGCATATTTAAGCCTCACTGAGAAGCACTTAGTCAAGGGCATGCACATTTCCAATCCCCATGAGGACTCACGTAAATAAACTGGACTGATTTTATTTTACTCTTCCTGCTGTTTACGCTCTTTAGGAAAAATGCAATCCAGAGAAAACGTTTTCTAGGATAAGCAGTGCATTGAAATCCGTGGGTAACCCATATATATATATATATATATATATATATATATATATATATATATATATATATATATATATATATGTAATCACCAGTTGAGACCAAACAACGTGCCAACGCAACAACAACAACAATTACCAAATAGGGGGAAGGGGCGTACAATACGATAAAACAGACCGTGAGTGACAGAAAAAATGTCGATTTTTCGGGCTTTTCACTGCACACTTTTTTGATGTTCTATGTCAATTCCTTTCTCGGAATGATATTTTTGTGGTTACGGGGCTAACGTTATGGATAGGAATGAAAAGGCAAACGATACCTAATGGTAAAAGTAATTCAGGGTACGCACCAAACAACTAAACTGAACAGAGGAAGTTGATAATAGAAGATACTCACTTTACAAGTAAATTCTCTCCCTCGGCTCGCGGAGTGAACGCGGCTATCTGCGAATGCTTCCAAATGGGATGTATCTCGCATGCACGGTGAAGGCGCAGACAAAGAAAGATTCAGTGAATCACCGTTAATTATCATCTCCGGACGGGGACGTTTGTTCTCGGTTAACGGCTGTCCGCTGGGAGAAGACGATTCGCAACCAGGCGGTGTCAGAGGCGGAGACGAATCTAGGTTCGCTGATTTAGGGACTGGAATATCAGTTAGCTTCTCAGGAGTGGATGCAGAGCAGTTACTTTTGTTTACATCATATGGGATCACGTTCTTCTCAGATTTTCCTGAATCACTTCGCTGACTTCTACGGGCTCGATGCGGGATGCGTCGATTATCTACTATGCATCGTTTGGGAGCACGTAGTTGACCGAATCTGCACCGGGTGGAAGGTATCTGGATATTTCCGTTGGGCTGGACCGGAACTGGTACGTGGTTCGTTGTGGAAGTCATGCCATTTTCTTGTTTCTGATCAGCCATTTTTCAAAGCCAATAGCGGACCAAGCCAGAATGTGATCAAGATCGGATACCGGGCACAGCCGTAGAATAGAATAAAAAGACCGGTTATGTTCAAATAACGATTGCAAAATCCTCCGTCTTAGAAAAACTAGTGTAGAAGCCTCACCGAATCACAGCACTGTTGTAAGTAATACTCTGAAGGAAGATTTTCAGTAGTTGCAAAGTACTGTAGAAAAAACGAACAGTCCACAAAAGCGGTCAGCGGAACCGGCAAGCTGCACCGCACGTACCACTCACCTACGTATTTGTATGCTTCCACCAGGCTGGTAACCTTCGGGGAATAACAACCAATCGACAATCACATGTAGACAGCCAATCAGCTTCAGGGTCACAGATCTCAGCTGATTCTTTCAAGGTCGAGAAACCCAATTTGACGGCAGGCAAACAAAGATTCATCGTGCGCAGCGTATCACTCTGTTCTCTGTCTGTATGCAGATATGTCCATTTCTCTCCCTTGGCGAATCGCTACGCGCAATCGATAAACATACTAGACACTGAAAGAGACAAACACGCCAACAGACAAACGCCATCGGTTGCGGTGACTAGTGCGCGCGTTACGTTTGTGAAAGGGTCTCCGTAGTGCTTGTTATGAATCGCGTTTTGTTTACTTACCTGGATTTTCCTAGTATTGCACTTGTCCACGTTCGAGAACGTGGTGTTATTTCAAACGGGCGACGTGGTAGCGTTGCCCATTGTCCTTAATCACGTTTTATTTCGACAAATATTGTCGCTACATTTTGCATAAGAACGTGACATACATTAAAGTAGGAAAACCCAATTCTCCAATATACTTTTTTCACAATAGAATAGTATATAGATAGGTAGTTTATTGGCCTAACGCCTTGAAAGAGAACGGTTACTTGGTGAGAAATAAATATTGGTACTGTGTCACAAAATCTAGAGGTCCTGATTTGAGCGGAACCGCCTGATGAGCCTTTAAAGATGTATGCTAAGGTTGATTTTGCGTTTGCGAACGAGGTTTGCGGAGAAGCACGGGGGAAGGGAATTAAAGAATCCAACTCAGTAGGGTGACCCGTTGTAATGACTGTCCACAAGAGGAAGTGGGAATCCTCGACTGTACTGCGGCAGTGGCGTTCGAGGATGAGCTTATACATGAGACTTGCATCTGTAGAAGGGAAAAAGGATTTTGATATTCATCGCTTTTCACGATCATACATGTGATGCTACGTGAACCACTAAACTGGTTCCATTGTATACGTTGAATAAAAGCGTAACCGCGCTTGAGATCCGCTATTCACTGCTTTTCCACGTGGAATGTCACGGTACGTCGCAGTCCTTTCCTAATTGTAATGAGCAGCTTTGATTAGGGCTGCAAAGTTTCGATAAAGCCAAATTAGAAAATTAGCAATAAGTACCACATTGGATAGGTCATTCGGTGGAGATAGTGAAAGAAGGAAAAAACGTATTTATTCCTTTATTTATTATACGACAAAGTACAATAATTCTGGAAGAGAACCGCGACCAACCCAAGGCTGTCAAAAGGGGAAGTGTCCGACAAAGGCAGCCAGCTTCGAACCCGGGACTTCAGAGTCAATAATCTAAGAGGATGACTGCTTGATTAGTTTTGGATTGCTTTGTTTTTGTTTTCATTGTGGAAAGGAGCGACTTGCTAGCAATCATTGCTGACTATTTCCACAAGACTTTGGTGTGGAAAGAAACATTCACGAACGGATAACTACCTTTTCATCTTATGCTGTACTGCAATTCAGTCCATGCAAACCGACCCTACTTATGTTAAAGAATTTCGGTGACATGCAGTCATTGAAAAGTACAATTATTACACAGTTATAAATAGGGTTTCCTGGAATCCTGATATTTTACACGTTCTGAAATGTGCTTTTTCAGTATTTATTCTAATTTTGATTCCTAACAGAATTCCCACTGAAAATTGATGATACACCCAGCAATAATTAGTCATTCAGGACGTAATTCTCAGTGCGTTTCTGTACGTGTGCTCGTTTACCGCTAATTTCTCAGGATAAGCAGACTCACACTTAGCGGTAGAACTCTCTCTCTCTCTTGTCCTTCCATTTGATTCGGGGAAATTCATTGTGGTCTATTGCTTGTAAATTTTTACCACAGCAGCAGAAGCAACAACAGTGCTCATTAGAACCAGTGTGCAAAGGATTTCGTTGACTCTTTAGTCATTCAATCATAATTTTATCCATATATACACCTTAATATATAATCCTCTATTTACTGACTGACTGACTCACTTAGTCACCAAGCTAACTCACGTATTGACCCGCCCAATAGCTCGCACAATTGATTGCCTACATACTTGTAGCTTTTTAGAAAGACGGTAGAATCACGTGAGTGCTTCAATACTGGTACGTTTTTCCATTCATAGTTTCACCTGAAACGGTTCCAACGAATAGCGGTGATGGTGAAATTATCCAACTTAATTCATTTATCCTCTAAGATCCTAAACTAAGACTGGGTATTCTGATTACCGTTTATGAAAAACACCAAAGAAATGAAAAGATTTCCATGCTTTTATATTTTCCGTCATTCGTTGGTTCGACTGATGATCCCCTAATGAAATCTTAGCAACTGAGCGTCTGTTTTGACATAACAAACTCAGTGTACAAAAATAGCTTGAATCGGACTGACTGATTGTTCCATCGCCCTGAATGAGTTAAAACACATCAATCTGAAGGCAGCCACTGAATTGTAGCTTCGAACGAACCAGACTTTAAATCTGACTTGCTCATCTAGTTTCCGGTACAGCGTTTACTTAAAGAAGAAAAACTTCGCCAGCGTGTGCACGGATACCTATCTGCATTTTGTTTCTGTCCTTTGCGCTGTTACAGTTGTTCGCCACGGAATGATGACCTGATGATGAACCGTACACCAAGTCGTCTGTCACTTCGTTTGTTTGCTTTGTTCGACTCATTCATCCCAGACCGCAGAACAGCTGATTGAACATAGAGGTGCGCGTGTTCGTGTATGAGAGTGCAATGCGACACGCGTCAGAAATCAGCTGTCCAGACAAAGCAGATTCGGTGCTTCTATCGCCTCACGCGCCCTTGCGCCGATTGGCTATTACGACCAGGCAGACAAAGCACTGATTCCTCCGTGGCAGTAGCATTAAGACTGTGGTGGCGAAGGCTAGCAATACTGATGATGATGATGATGATGATGATGATGGTGGTGGTGGTGGTAGTATTAGTAGTGGTAACTGTAGTGGTGATAGTATTGAGGGTGATGTTGTTATGTTGTTCCTGCTGCTGCGTTTGGTGGTGGTATCGTTTACGGTGGTGTGTTGCCAAAATGGATGTCGATCGTGTTGCTCGAGTGGCAGGGCGAGACAGGGCAATTCGGACCAACACAACTGAGATGTACGCATGGTAGGGTACTGAAATGCACACCATTGGTGAAAATGAGAACGATAGCGGTAGAATTGGACTCGTGCTGACCGCATTGTCACACTGCCCTGCCTCGAACGCTTTTCTTATGTCACCTACACCTGCCGTTGGTTGCTTGTGTGTGCTGAGTAAGCAAAACGGTGGTGTCATTCGCTAAGTGCGCACTATGCAGATCGATTGGCTGGTGAACTGAATATCAAACTGCCAGGCAAGAGCACGAGAGGAAGACACGGGGGACGACATATACCGAGTGAGTGATAAAGACTCTCAATCAATACATACCACTTTCGCCAATTTGTGGGCTGTGTTTACCCTCTCGCCAAACTGACCTGGTCACGTCAATTTTAGTCGTTTGGTGGATAAGCGAATGAAACTTCACTCAGTATTGACACTAAAGCGTTGTTAACCCCTGTAAGACAGAAACTGTCTGCAGAGCAGCTGATTGTCCTCATATCTGTTTGAAAATGGAGCAACCGCACACTTGGTGTTTATATTTGTGTTGGATTAATCCGAATGTTAAAATTCGTTGATTCCGATGAGATTCGAACCCAAATATTCAAGTTTTAATACCACGTGTGCTTTACAAGCCGAGTAAACTACAGTTCATAGTAAACGACTTCTAACATTTTGCAAATGATACATCGGGTTTTCGTTTATGTATAGGCATAAATAAACGTGGAAAAACAGTAAGGAAAAGTCTTACTGGGGCCGTCATACATTCACAGAAATGACGGATTTTGAAAAGAGATGGCGGTTCTCATTTAATATGAACAAGACACAGGGATAACCACTTGCCTACAGTGAACCTAAGAACAGTCTCGAAGACTGAATTACGAAGAAAACTAACATTGATACCATTTCTTATAAAATATGATGGCGAGATCAATATCCATTATAGAGTACGAATATTAATAGCCTGTACCGTCAAGAAAAACACTTTGAATTCCGTGGTCAGTTCAAGAACAACTACACTGGACAGTGACCGCTTTTTCCAGTGATCTCTCATCTTCCTCTTGAAAATCAGACGGTTTATAATGGTGCAGCTGATCTACCTTTGGCTAGGTTGAAGTTCGCTTTACAGAGTCACGAAAGGAGGTAGGTTGGCTTTTATAGTTAAGTTGTGTTGCTGGTAGTGTAGGTTCTACTCGATTCCGATTTAGTCATTTTGCGTTCCCCAGATCCTGCCTTCAGCTAAGACAGTTGGAAATAATATAGAAAGCAGGTTCATTGTAGATCCACATTAAAATATTCGAAACGTTGCTCGTTGAATGATAAAAAAACCTTCGCTCATAGTAGGTTTAACTTGGACAGTATCAATGAACCTCTAAAACAGTAATACTAATATTGTTTTGCGTCCTTTTGATTTATTACTCATAAAGGTTACAATGTTTCAGGAAGGAGTTCACGGCCAGTTCTAGGCTGCCGAGCGGAGAAACAAGCGACGGCAACAAGATTGAATCCGGGTCTTTAAGATTTGAATTTAGCTATGGTTACCGTCTGACTGCGGCCTGTCAAGGCAGATTTTCGATTCTGCATTCCACAGGGGAGGAGTATTATAAGAAAGAAATTTTTAAAGAGTCTCAGGAATTTTTCAATTATCCATAAGGACGACTTCAGACTTTAACAATGTCGTTTCCATCAAGAGCAAACAAATCCTCGTTTTTTTTTATAAAGCCGATACGAAGGTATGAAAACTGTTTAAACTCAATTCAGGTAGCTCGCAATCCGGTTTCAAGCCCCCTACCCGACGGATTTTCTGTCCTGTGGGTGATTGTTAGACATCTGTTTCATTTACAAATAATTGCAGTAATTCGTTTCCGCACAACAAAAGCATTTCAAAGGATAACAATCTAAAAAAACAGATGAATAATGGGCAAAAAGTCAATAACGGTAGCGGACTCAGTCATTTTTAGTACGAAAGTCTGACAGCCGACGAGATTTCGCGTGGGCAACGCCAAATTTCCTGTTAAGATGACGAATTATCAACGACTGAGTGAATCCCACAAGCCACACAACCCAGAATAGTCAATTCGAAAGGCACGAGGTTGTGACCGGACGCATCGTTTGATAGTCACGCTAACAGACAGCATGTCAGTACCTGTCCAGAATCTAGGCCAAGGCTAAAAGCAACAGATTCACTATCGACAGGAAGGCGGATCGATAAGATGAGAAAAGACTCCCTTCAAGTGGTGGTTGATCGTATCAATAATCAACCAATCAGAAGAGTTGCTACCCCGTGCAAGTTTGAACCAACTGAACTGCGTTGCAAAGACTGGTGACAGTGATTCTTTCTTTATGCATGAACAATGTGTTCTGAGCCAGTATATCGAGTTGATTCGAAGGCGGAATAGTCTTCTTACTGGAGCTAGTGTGACTGATAAAAACAAAAGATTCAGTCCCAAGTTGGACTTATTGCCTCACCGGGTTTCTCTGACTTTATTCAACGATTGAACCAACTGCAGCACATAGATAGGTAGATTTCACTACCAGATGGGATGTCTTCTTGTTCTGAAGTGGTATGGAGAAGATATTTTTGCTCTGTTTTGCCCAAAATGATCAAGATTTCCTATCCACCAACATGGAGACTAGACGAGATAACTCCTACCTCAGCCAACCAAAAAAACTGAAAACACGTGAAGAGCTCCCCTTGGCTTCGGCTTTTCATACAATGGCATCTGTTTGCTTAGCCATCTGCCTACTCCCTGCCAATCATAATGGCATTAGGAAAAGAGTGAAAACCCTAAGTACTGCACAATTCACTCCCCGAATAGGATATTAATTCCGCATCACTAGATTGATTTGTGCTTGTATAACTCAATAGATGAATCACACTTGCAAATTTTCCCCTCTGTCTGTTTGCTGTAGTGTTTCGAGAAGTGTAACATTTATTCTATTTTTTTGATTTTTCGTACACGCCAAATAACTATTCTTCAATTAAAATCCATTACATTATGGTGTACTTTCGACGTACTTTTCAGCTAAGAGAATACCCTAACACTCCAGATCGATCTCGACGATGTCGTACGTTGGTCCTCATTTATTCTTATCCATGTCAAAATATACTACTACCTAGCTCGGAGCTATGCCAGATCAGGTCCACACACTCAGGTTCATTTGTGTTTCAGTTGTGGTAAAGCCGTACAAGTCGCATCAACGATCAGATTGTAAGGATAGTGGTTGATTCGTGGCCAGCACGCAGCCTTTCCTTTCTAGCAGTCGAACACTACCAGAATGGGTCACGGAAAGCCTATGCAGAACCTGTTCAGTGCCGAGCCCAAGGCTTGAGACAACGGAACCACGAACGACAGGATAGACAATCGATGGAGTGGATCGATAGAATTGGGGATGAATCCTGTCAAGTGGAGTTTAGTCTCAACACCACCCAATAAGAATAATTGGTCGACCGCACCAGTCGGATCAATACGTTTTGTGCTGACGGCATACAAGGATCAGCATCCTATATAACCAGTGTTTTATGCCAATAAAACAAGATTTTTCTTGAGCATGGAAGCTTTTTTCCTCGACTCAATGGGACAGTTTAGAACACAAACAGTTCTGTTTATCTTGCGATCGCTCGCTTTCTCTAGCACGAGCATATTATTTCAGTGGTCCATATGGGTTCAAGAAACCTTTTATAAAATGTGGAATTCGGTAATTTCCTCGTCCACACTAAGTGCTATTTACAGAAATTCTTTCTCCCAATGATTATACTGCTCCTCGATTATTCTTAAGTTCTCTGAAAATCATTACAGCTTGTTGGTAGGATACGTTTGGGATATTGCCCTGGAAACAACAAGGTCTCCAAAGCTGTCGGTAGTATTTTTTCTAAATTTCGTTTTTGGTTATCGTCGGTGGTGTTCGGTCATGGAGGTCGTGGCTGTGGGAATTGTGGGGGTGCTGTTGATGTTGGTGTTCGTAATCGTGGTTTCGATGTCAGTGAATCACGGAAGATTGCATGGGCTGTACTATCCTCTACCGTGTTCGATCCTGAGAGAGAGAGAGAGAGTCTAATTTGTTCAAACCGTAGTTGACATTTTTGTGGGAACAGTTCAGTGAATGCACTTGACCAAATCAACTGCTATGCTCTGTTTTTCAGTATACCGGTTCCATTTTCTTCCTCTTTCATCATTTTATCGATACATAAATGAAGTACATGATTTTTTCGCATTATGTTCACAAAGGATGGGATCTTGAGTTCATTTCCGTTTTTCTTTTGTTTTATGAACTAAACGTTAACAACACACACACACACACACACACACACACACACACACACACACACACACACACAAGTGAACATTTGGTCATGCAGCTATACATGCTGGCTCTTGTTCTGATATAAGCGACGGATTAGCAACCCCCACACCATGATTCTAATTTCGTACTGTAAAAGCTCAGGAGGTGTTTGTTGAACACATCAGGCCGGTATTGACCTCTTCTTGGAAGGAATAAAATCATTTTTCAGATATAATTCAATTCGTAAGTCTCTTCATACTATGGTAAACCACTAGGCATTCACGGTGAGTTGAAGTAAAATGAAGAGAAGGGTTCAGCAAGGTTTATTCGGATGGGAATTCGCAGCGAATGTCCGTTCCATCAATGAATTACCCAAGTTTTCAATTCTGGTGATATCCAAGTAACTGAAGATAAACACTGAGGCAAGACGTTCGGCCCCAACCAGAACAGGTCGACTTCGATCATAGACAGGGCTTTGTTGTCCCTCCCCCCCCTCCCCCACAGGCCCTCAAAAAACCGGTACCTCTTGTGACCTGTAATAGGCCTATGTGATTTTTCACTCCAATCTCAGGGTCCCGTTCGCCGTTCACTCTGAAAGCTGAATGAGCCACGGAACCTGCATGAATGTAGCACAAGTGTGGAATAATAATTCCATCGTCAGTTGACCTCTGGCTCAATCGATGCGCATTTATATACGTTCAGGTGTGTGCGTGTAAGTTACCACTTTGATTTGAGGCTGTATGTGAGTAATCTAAGTTGCATTCAAAGTGATATAATAGCGTAACGGAAAATCCACTAACATTTTTCACATCGAACCGAAATCGAACCGACTTTCCATTGCAGAAGATTTAGGCTGCTCGTGCCAACAATAGACTCTGTGATATGATAGTATTGTAGCTTCTAGAAAATGCCAACAGAAGCACTACGAAAAGTGACATCACGGAAAACACGGTTTTGTACTGGCGAATTCTTGGGTATGGTGAATTTCGTAATTTCATTTACCATCTATTCATTACCACTGATTTCGTGAACCTGTTGATGACGTCACCTTGGTTGGTAAGGTTACGTCTGCAATGCGCAGTTGCCCCACTTGGTGAACGCGAGAAAAAAATATCATTCATGAACCTTCTCTGATGTGTGATTATAAGCTGACTCAAAATACTAGCGTGTTATTATGTTATGCCGAATGACCTCCGTCAACCAAGATTCGCCTGGTTTCAGGCTGATGGGCTCATTACCAGAATCGCACGGCAGGTGATCACCTCTGACCCAGTGCTATCTACCTCGCAAAATAATTGTTGACCAGTTTCGGTTACCCAACTGCATGGGAAGTGTGCTGTGATGCGGGCAGTAAACAGATTCAGGGCGGCTTAGAAGATTTTAACCCATCAAATATTCTTTTAGATTTAGGGTAACGGCGAACAAACTGACCTTAAGTTTGTCGGAAACGGCTTAACATTTCTACCGGATTGCTGAGCTCTTCGAACAACGCTCTCCCTGACTGTTGGACAATGACGAGTTACATCGCATAGCTACCGAAAATTTCAGGCAGCTGTGATCCAGTGCTTTTTAACCCAGCTTCCCTGGATCAACTTTGGGGGTTATGAACTTCCATTTCCGTGTGCTCGTAGCACAATTGCGCAAACATGCTCTTCTGCACGCTGTGTGAGGTTGATACTTCTTCACGCACGCTGACGGAATGGTATATGGGGCAACGCCCTTTGTTATGAGTATTTAGGTTATACGTATATATCTTAGATTCCCTAAAGGAGACAGTTCATTTTTAATCAAAGAAAGTAACAAACAGAAACATCTCTAAACTGCACACCATGGCTGATGAGATGATGCAAAAAGTAATATTTGTTTGGGATTTAAAAACAAGTTCTTGAACTACTGCTACTGTCGTAATGCAGAAGATATGCACGGCATAAGACCTATTCATTAGGAATCACTCGTTTAGGAGTCAGCAAAACTAATCAGGTGAAACAGCAATGCTTATTTGTACTTCAGCGGTCCAATCCACTTGAAGGCAGTCATTATCTAGCTAGAAGATGCAGTCTTAGGGTTTACAACCCGCCATTCACCTCATTGCCTTTGGTTCCCGCGTTCCCCAATAATCCACTACCAGCCATAATTGCGTTTCGGGCAAGCAACAAGTTACTTATTCGGTGAGCAGTATATGCACCCCCAAACTACTACCACTGGTAACAAAAAGAGTACTACTACTACTACTACTGTGGTGAATGTATATACTACTTGGTAAGTAGTTGATTGCTGAAAACGGAACTATCGTCAGTCGTGGAGTACCAACGCCGCTATGCCCAAGAGACTGAACGCAATAAGGTGAACAACAACAGGCAAACCACACGACTGCTTCTCTGTCGGATGGTGACTGTCTTCAAGCGAAGGAAACAGAGAGTTTGAAAACAAGCGTGTTTGTAACGTTTGGTTTGTTTTGTCGATGTCCGAACAGGCGATTTGCAATAAACAACCTACTACCCAGGAATGTCTTGTGGATTATAACACTACTACTTCCATTACTGCTACTACTACTACTACTACTACTACTACTACTACTACTACTACTACTACTACTACTACTACTACTACTACTACTACTACTACTACTACTACTACTACTACTACCTTTACTATTACTGTTATTACCACTGCTATTTTTACTGCTGGTAATGCACTAATATCCACTGCTCTTATCACTACCGGATTATTGTTGTCACGCAAGCTTTTTTTTTCTTGTTCATTAACTTGCAGCTTTCATCCGTTCGCTTTTATGATGTTGATTTAGTTACTTGGCGGTGGGATAGTCAAATTTGAAATCAGCATTTCTAAAACTGACTAGTTTGGTCGTAGTAATTCATGTCTTTGTCGTGTTTAGGCAATGCAACTGCAAAGAGCATACACAGATCCAATTAAGTCAAGGATTTTGGTCGAATAAACTCAGTGAGACACTGGCTGATAGACTGTAGTCGGCATAGGGCTTTGGAGAAACACGATTCAGATCTTTGGTCCATCCTCTGCCTAGTCGAAGTCGTTCAGTGTGAGAAAACAAGAATAGTTGCCGTTCAGATCTAACCATGAAGCACTTTAACTGTTTCAGTCAAAGTGGATGAAGATGGAGTTTGTCAACCAATGGGAATAATGATGCCAATCTTTATTTAAGTACGGTAGAAACCAGTGGACATTGCTTATCGATGCCGTGTCCCTAAGAGAACGTACGCAAGCGGAAAACTGTATTTTGACCATGACTAACTGAATACAGGTACATACAGTGAAGTAAGAAACAATCAGTGAGAGATTAAGTCAACGTACTTGCAGTGTCTGGGTGAAAGGTGTTCTGTATCAGAGACAGTGGACAGCGTATCGATTTTACGCGTATGCGCGATATCTAACGGTTAACAGGTTCAGTGGATCACGTACTTGCCTTCATAGTCTCAAATTCCTCTTTATCAATAGCTATTTGATTCACTATACTCTTCTGAACCTGATGGGGCTGGTATGTAGAAAAAGGTGGCGGTTATTCACATAGAAATTTGAAGTTCTTTTCCATTTTTAACAGATGTATAACATCGACTTTGATGGATATACAAATGAAGGACAACTGTATTTAAGACAGAAAGGAAATTTCACCCACCAACCTACATACCACTTACTGTCAGTGTGAGTATTTGCACATGCAGCCTCGCTGTTCCTTGGGTTAGCAGTGACCTGGACACGAATAACTAACAGAAATCATAGTTGTTCAATTGTGGACTCTTCAATGAAGAGTATCTATTCACCCACTGGGTGCTTCAAATATATATATATATATATATATATATATATATATATATATATATATATATATATATATATATATATATATATATATATATATATATATATATAATGTATATACAATGCAGGGACTCACATAAAATGCCCAAGTCGTATACTCACAATAAAGTAAGCAGAAATCTTGAAACCTGCACTCAATCGATTTCCTGTTCGTTACGTGCTGTCATTGAATAAAGTAGTTTTGACTCCCGATTTTCGACAAAATCGGCTTTGGAAATCGGAAATTACTACAGTGTATGGGCTACTGATGGAGGTAAACAAGTGATACATTTGGTAGCACTTTCTCAGTGATCCGGATTTAAGCCATTCACAATTTCTTGTCACGAAAGTGAATGACGAAGTTGACCGGTACGTAAGCGTCTACAGCAGTTCATTTCGAGAAATACGCTTAACACAGGAGAGCTAATTTAGGTTATCCCCGTCACCGAAAGGATGTATCTGTGACACGGTTTTCTGCAATTATTCTTCGTAATCTCTAGTTCTACAAGTCGTATTCGTTTTAATGAGTGATAACGTCAATCTGTGATGGTGCAGAACACAGTCTGAAATGCAAAATTGCTGGTGTTTCTGTCCCGAAAGAAAATCTGCGAAAGTTACAACATTCCACAGAAAGCAAATGCACTGATTTAACCTAGGTTACTATAAGACTAGGTTATTTCAGCACTGAAGTAAGGATGAAGACGATAAGATCTATTGGTATTATTAATATTAGTGTTATTATTATTATGACTACGGTTGGGTGCTGATATAAAGTCGAAAATGAGGATGACTATGGCACCAATGAGCACAAGATTTATTTGATCGTTCCTGTGAAGCGACAACCTCCTTCTACTCCGCATGTGCCAGGAGCAACGAAGATCCCAATTCCAGTGTACTACAGGATCACACGTTTTGTTCTCGCAAAATGAGATGATGCGGGTCTGCCCAAGGTAAACACCATAGGAATTTCAGCGCAACATTGAGTGTGTGTGTGTGTGTGTGTGTATGTGTATGTGTGCACGAAATTCAATGGGTCAAAAGTCTCAGACGAATGCACAATCTAAGAGAATGAGGGTGAAACACGGAAGGAAACCAAGCCAATGACTAGAACCACATACTAAGCGAAGAATGTCACGGACAGAATTTAATTACATTCATCCACAAGGAAAAAAGGTTCAGAAAACGAAAATGAGAAAATAAGGAGAAAAAGCACCGAATGATAAGAGAGTGCGAAGTTGTAACGATAGAAAACAAAATTAAAATAAAAAAAATAAAAACAAAGGTAACTGCAAGAAATGAGAAAAGAGTAATA